CCTCCGACCATCAGGCAAGATAATGAAGACTTCTAAAAGCATCTGAAAGTTATGAGAGGAGACGGTTACTACCTTTGTTTAACAGCGCTTAACACATTTATTAGATCACATATCATAAAAAAAGGAAAACACAAATATTTTAGAAACCTGTCTTCTCTTTTCAGTGAATGCTCTATATGTAACTGCTTTGAAATGGAGTGATGAAACTCGGTTCATGTTTTTATACCAAAATATTAAGTTAAAATAAAAATGTAAACTAAACATTTACACAGAAATGAATTATAATTTATTCCCTGTGATATTAAATTTGTGCTGGGCATAGGTGTGACAGGAGCCTTAAAATGAGAAGAAAGCTCAAATTAATGATGGACCCCTTCCACCTCCCTGAACCTTAATCACCTGCACAGTTGAGCCGGCTTTGATTCCACAATCAGCCAGCAATGCAGAGGGGTTGTCCAGTGTCTTGCCTTCAACTTGCAGAGTGACATGTTTCTCAGTGTATCCTACACACACAGTATTAAACAGGTTTGAGTAACTGTATGTGCAACAATTAAAAAATTAAAAAAAATCTTTGAAGGTGTTTGCACTCCTATTCACAACATTTGATAGTTTTTTTTGTAAAATAAACAACAACAAAAAACAAAAAGAAAACAGGTTTTACGGACAGTTGATCACATCCTCATTGAGGACTGTAGGTCATAATTTTTTTTTTAATGTATCAGTTGTCAGTTCTTAGGTTATTTACCATGGATGGCCCACACTCTCAGTATGTCCTCTTTGAACTGGCTTACAGTCATACGCTGCAGCTGTCCGGGGCACAGCATCATCGACACCCTCCGACCATCAGGCAAGATAATGCCGAGTTTACAATTTTCCATGTTTAGGCGGGGAACTTGTGATCTTTCCAGGTTGTCTGTCTGAAGGTAATGAGAGGTAACAGTTAGTACCTTTGCGCTTAACATTTTTTATACCACATATCATGGAGACAAAAGAAAACGCAAATATTTTAGAGACATGTCACCGCTTTTCAGTGAGCCCTCGACGTCCAGCTATTTTGAACTGTAGTGAGGAACTTCAGACTTAGTTCATGTTTTTAAAAAACTATAATATTAAAATAAAGATGTCAGATAAAAATGTTCACTTCAATGGATCATTATCTATTCAGTTTAATACAGAATTAGCATAAGTATGACAGGAGCCGTAAAATGTGACAAAAGTGCAAAGGGGGGCAAAAGCAAAAGATGCTACACTTCAATCAGAATCGTGCATCTTTTTCTTTACGTGTATTTATGATTCATGAATTTGATGTAGTCAGATGAATTAATGATGGACTCCTTCACCCTCTGTTAACCTTCCTCACCATCTGTACAGTTGAGCCGGCTTTGATCCCGTATTTTTTCACTGGTGCAGAGTCATCATCCAGTGGTTTGCCATCATACAGCAGCTTGATATTATCCTTATTGTATCCTAAACACACATAACACCGGACAGAGAGGATTTTACTTTGCAGCCTTTAAACTAAATATAGCTGCAAATGTGTCATAAATAATTATATTATGTTCCCTGCATTAGAGTTTGATTGTAAATAAAGGTGATCCTTAGCAGTTAGCAGTTGAGCCGTTTTA